AAAGAACAGTGTCCTTTCTTTAACAGATCCATTTTAAATGCAAGTGATATTTTAAGAAACTTAGATTTCTCTTAACACCCAGCATTATTTGGCATCATTTTCACAGACACAGTTTTCAAGACTTCTTTTGCATTTGTTCAGAAATGCTGTCTTCCATTCCAACCACCTTGATACTACAAAGAATGTATTAATCTATTGCATACAAAAGTTATTCATTTTAACAGAACAAAATATAAAACCTAAGTTTGACAGAGGTGCATGTAAAGCTGTTAAAGATTAAATATATATGTTGTCTATTTTCCATCCTATTAGATTTATGTCCAGTTGTACATCAAGATACCTTAGAAGCTGACGATCTGGAATCTGGCTGAAGTGTACAAGTGCGGAGGAGAACATGACCAATTCTATTTATGAACTAGTCCAAGTGGTGTCTAAGTGTAGGCAATTTGACTCCAGTGGAGGAACATGATAGGGAAAAGTGATCCATTATATTTTAACACAAAATGTCCTTTACAAACTGATGGAATACTCCAGAAGGTGGTTATATTTTTTGTTTTTCTTTTGTCTAGCTACTTTGAAAAGCAGAAAGCAGAATGGCAGACAGAACCACAGGAGCCTCCCATTCCAGAGTCTCTGGCTGCAGCTGCAGCGGCTGCCCAACAGCTGCAAGTGGCTAGGAAACAAGATACCAGACAGACAGCAACTTTCAGACAACAGCCACCTCCAATGAAGGTCAGGAGATGGAATGCATTGTTTTTTTCTCTTTTGTCATTGGAATGCATTATGTTTATAAAGTTGACCAATATTTACGAAAAGGAGAAATGGTGTGTCCTGATTCTGATTTTTCTTGCAGTGGTTCAAATCAAGAGCAACCCCAGTAGACTTAAAAGTAGTAGCACCAGTCATCAAGGGTTAAGGACAAGGCTCTGTATTATTTGACTCCTTTATGACTGAAGAGCCTCCATCAGCAGAGATGTAGGCAATTCCCACTTCTCTTGTGTTTCATGTGGGAGAAAGGCATGTAAGGAAAAAAAATGCTGGGCAGAAGCAAAACTAATAGCTAGGAGTTAATCCCAAATGGATTCCTATTAGAAGCAAGGCACGTATTTTATGAAGGAGAGTAATTACTGATGGTACAAATTACCAGGAAAGGTGGTGGTTTCTGCACTTCTTGGGATCTTCAAGTCAAGACTAACGTATGGATTAATTTAACCTAACCACAGGCACTTAAGTGACAGTTTTACTCACCTCCTTCTGTAGTCAGTAAAAACAGCTAAGTAATTCCATAGCAGTATTCATCCCACCCAAGTTCCAAAGATTCACTGACTAAGGTGGCAAACCGATGTAGTTGCACTCCATAGTTATGTGCTTACTATCTGGAGTTAGGCCATTGAAAAGCCTTTCTGCAAGTCATATGCTTCAGTCAAATGGAAGTTAAAGGGCTTAGTATGGAGCAAAAGGGCAGGGTTCTGTATCCTGTGTTAAATATGTGGAATTCATCTAATCACCCGCTCCTGCCTTGAATTCTGTGACATCACAGTTGGCCTTCACTGTAATTTCTCTGACTCAGTGAGCTATTACATACATAAACATCTTTAAAACATGTGGAATGTTTAACACAAAATAGAATTTAATGTTACAGTTATTGATACATGCCTGAACCATGTGTCTGCTGAACCGTAGTTTCAATTCAATGAGATACTCCATTTTTTCAGTTGTCCTGAAGTTACTGTACAATCCAGAGACCTGGATCATATAGAATGTAGCATTGGTTTGCCTTTGAAGGCAAGAACCCTTAGTTATTTTTTTCTGTACTGTAACTTAGAATATGATACTCAATAACCCATGTAACAATGCCATTTAAGTGTTTGTAACAAGAGGCTGCAATGTCACATTTCAGGCATGTTTATCGTGTCACCAACAAATTCATCGAAATGCGCCCATATGCCCACTCTGCAAAGCAAAGAGCCGATCTCGGAATCCCAAAAAGCCCAAGAGGAAACAGGACGAATGAAAGCCAGAAGACTGACAAGCAAACATGTGACCTGTTCCAGTACTCTTCCAGTAGAACTGCAAATGTGGCCAGACTTTACTGAAGTGCAGACTCAAGTATGACCGACCCATTGTTTTCTATTTAATGCAATGTAAGCACAATGTTCCTGGTCTGTCTTAATTTCCTTCCAGTCCTTAGGATTTGGTTTTAGGAAAGTAAGTATTACTGGTGCTACAGTTTAACATTTCAATCACTCCATTTTTTGGACTCATAAACAAAGTAGAATTCTTAGGCACGTATCCTAAATGCCAGGCTATTCCTATTGGCCTAATGCGATTACCACAAATGCTTTTATGTTGTCTTTTTAAAAACAGATGTTACTAAAAGATTATTCTGTTTTCTCCTGATAACAGGAGACTATTTGAAGTGCTGAAATAGCAGACTGTCTGTTTCACTAAAGAACAATTTGTTTACCAAGCTAGTAAGACTGCATAGGTTTGGGTATCCAGTAGAGCTCTTTTTAAACAGGAAATGTTCAGGGGAAAAAAAGAAATTGGTTTTACAGGAAATCAGTGCATTAAGGACACACATGAGATTTGATTTACCGGAGTTTGATTGTACCATTCCCTCAAACTTGACTTAAAATTTGGAAGGGGGAATCAAGTTGCTGGCTGTGTATGAATTTCTAAAAATGATGTAATTTGTAATGCTTTAATGTCTTAATTATTTTCAGCAGTCAGAAGACTGATTGACTGAAGTACAAGGCTCAAATGAACTGTATTAGTGGTCCGCCTAGGCTCTATGGCCAACCAGCTCACTGTAGTTCTCTAGGAAACATGCATGAAATATCTCAAATCTCTATGTGCACAGACTGCAACATCAGCCATTCTGCACATCTTCTATTCCTGGTTTCTACAGCCAAAATCTCCCTTGGCAGACATACCCTCCACTGGAGCACAGGGAAGTTCTCTAATATGCACCAGGAACAGTGTCAACTAAAAATGATGTATTTCACCACAACTGCCTGGCTTTGGTGTCATCGTCCTCCCTCAACCAAAACTTCCTATTTTTGTATCTTTTAACAGGGCATTGTCACGTAAGCTTTATTTCAGCCCAGTTTTTTCTTCTTGCTCTCTACGTGTGCCAAAAGTACCCTGACTAAAGGATCCTTCAGACCACTCCCTGTATCCGTGTCTTCCCTCTGTTTCACCTCGTGTAACAACAGTTCCTCCAATGGGGACAATGGCAGTGACCCAACTACAGAACCAGGGCTTAAAATTTACTAATTTCTAATCCCAGGTTTTTTACTGCCTTTGTTGATTGAATTGATCTCAAGTATTAAATATTCTTTTCACTAACTTCAGGAGGCAGGGACTGCTGGTTTACATTCTTCTCTCTGTAGCCCAGGTTTTCCTCTACTATTATGCTAGAGTGGTTATACTGAGAACTTTGCCTGTTAAATAGGAAGAACAGGGAAGACCCAAGTCCCTGCTCAGAACTTTGCTAAATACTGGGGACTGTAGAAATCCACATGAACCAATTTTGCTGGCCAAGTCACATATGCTGCCATTAATTTCCCAACTCCGCCACAAAGTACGTGAGTATGTTATTGAATATAGTCTTGTAATTTATGCCAAGTTAAGTTGGTATTCTCCCATTTTAATGTTTCATAGCCAAATAAACATCTGTCAACAGCAGAGACAGAATGTGGACCATGTGCCCCTGAAAATATGTGAAGAGCAGATTCTGCTACCTGAATTACTTGGGATTCAGTCTCTGAGACAGCAATAACGGAGGATAGTCTGACCCCATGCTCCAAATGGCAGTAGTGCGCTAAGTCTATCATTATGCATGTTTCCTAACACAAATACTGGATTCTACTTTTAAATGTCAAGAGTATCCACATGCTGTGTGCCCTGTTCAGAGTAATTCCTATTGTGTTTAAGGGAAGATGCACACAGAGTTAAAGGACAGTATATGACCTCCCCCAAAGTGCACGCATAAGAGCAGCATACTTTGACAGCTGTACATAAATTTAAGAAGTAGTGACAATGGAGAATGGGCAAATGGTCTGCAATGAAGTAGTGCGAATAGAAGGATAGATCTGTAGAAACTTCGACTTACAGTTCTGAAATAGATACGGTTAGTGGTAGCTGCTCTCACTTCACTGTTACTTTGCCAGGTTCATTCTTTCTTGGGAGCTCTCTAGAGCTCTAAACTGAAGTATGCTTAAGGAAAACCGTTTACTAATTTAGTATGGCAGTTTCGTATTCTTACTTTTATAAACTAGTCTCTTGTGCCATGTTTAACAAGTTTTTTTTTAAAAAATGTGAATATGACATATTGTGTTTGTATCAATAATGTACTAGCGTTTACAAATCTGTTTTCACAAGTTCTGCCATATGAATAGCATGCATTGCCGAGAATGAGTCTAACCAAGTATGAGTCAACAGCGTGCCCTTGGCAGCCAAAAGGGCCAACTGTGTCCTGGAGCACATCGAGCACAGCATAGCTAGCCAGTTGAGAGAGATGATTGTCCCACTCCACACTGCACTGGTGCAGCCTCAAGTACTGTGTGCAATTTTGGATGCCTCAGTGTAAGAAGGACATCTGACTATTAGAATGTGTCCAGAGGAGGGTGACCAAGATGGTGAAAGGCCTCAAGGACAAGATTTACAAGGAGCAGCTGAGGTCACTTGGTTTGTTCAGCTTGGAGAAGAGAAGGCTGAGGGGTGACCTCAACGTGGTCTACAGCTTCCTCAAGGGGGGGCAGTGGAGGGGGAGGTCCTGATCTCCTCTCTCTGGTGACCAGCAACAGGACACAAGGAAATGGAATGAAGCTGTGTCAGGGGAAGTTCAGATTAGACATTAGGAAAAGATTCTTCACCGAGAGGGTGGTCAATCACTGGAACAGGGTCCCCAGGGAAGTGGTCACGGCACCAAGCCTGTCAGAGTTCAAGGAGCATCTGGATGATGCTCTTAGTCATATGGTTTAGTGAGGTAGTCCTGCGAGGAGCAGGGAGTTGGACCTGATGATCCTTATGGGTCCCTTCTAACTCGAGATAGTCTATGACTCTTAACTATTTCAAGGAGACAAAATCTGTATTATGCATTAAGGGATCCTGGGGGTGGGGGGAGGGAGGGAAGCAGTATCTTTCATAGTGAACCAGTATTCTCCTTTTCTCTCTCAGATTAATTAAGGAAGTTTAACTGAAGAGCTCTTCTTGTGACAGCCCCAGGCCCTTTTCTCCCAGGCACCCTTCTCAAGAGACTAGAGGGATAATTATGAAATATTGATTTACTGTTTTTTTAGGCAGAGGAGGAAGCTGTCTGAAGTACAGTTCTTACCACAAGTCTACTGCGTTTTTGTTCCATGGAGCAACAATGGCCTCCTCCTTTGTACCTAAGGTTCTTTGAGGATACTTCTTCACTTGGCTTAAATTTGTTCTTATTTGGGTTAAATTCTCTTAATAGCCACAAAGAGATGCTTCTCAAAGCTTTCAAGACTTTTATATTACTAAAGTCCTGTTTACCCCAGCTTTGTCATTCACTTTTCAATGGGCATTCAACAGACAACAAAATCACTGGATTCTTTTGTTATAGATGGTTTCCAGGGTCTTTTCCTGGTTCCCCACTCTCCTCAAAGGATAGTCCTGTTGTTCTGCAACCAAATGGAAAAAAAAAAAAAACAAAAGCCTCTCCCCCTGCCCCCCACCTTAAGGTCATGCTAAAAGGATGTGAACACTCTATTGTGTCTAAAGCCTTTGCTGTAGAAATTTTCATACCCAAGCTGGGGTAGATCAGTTGTTCAAACTTCAGTGCCAAGGACCCCATTAATTATAGAGAAAATGTAAGCAAAATTTTAATACTTGCACTTCCTGAATTCAATTTCAGCTTTCTAAACAGGACACGGACTGAACCTGCCAGTGGCTTCAAGTTACAGAATCTAATTTTGAAAGAATAGCCATTGATGTGTTACTCTAAATAGCAGACTATTCAAGAAATTAAGACTTTACTAGCACTTTAAATAAATAAAAGTGCTTTCCTTTATTTTACAGTTTTCTAATTCCTCCGACATAGGTTTTCATTTTAGCATTTAGGTATTTTAGCAATATCTGGCATTTTCACTGGCTTCTGTGTTTTAAATATTTTACTCCTGTGCCCAGTAGGAGTAAGAGTGTGCTATCTGTTTAATTTGTCTGTACAGTCCTTTTTAATAAATGTTTGTTTCATGTCATGCTTTCTTCCTGCAGAGTATCTTCACATCTGTTACTTGCTTATGCTACTGAGAAGCAGCCATATCCCGAAAGGTAAAACCCAGTTCTCTAATTTTACAGGACACAATTAGCCAAAATTCTGTTATACCTTTATAGAAAATTTATGGAGATAAAATATGGGGAAAGAAATATCTGTTCTAATGAGCTTTAGACAATGGAAAGGAAAAGGAGATATCAAGACAGGTTTTAACCTAGCCAAACTTCTCAGTCACATTTCTGGAACACAAACCACTGTGTGCTTAAGCTCCCAGATTTCTTCATCTGCGTAAGAGTCATAGAAACAGTGTCTAATTCCCCAAACCAGGTGCTTCTGAAAGAAACCTATCTTCTGCTACCACTGGCTACTAACACTGGAACTGGATAGTTTGCATGGATAAAAATGCCTAATTTGCACTTGCAGGTGTCCAGTTACAAAACTCAAACAGACCCAGAAAAATAACAAGGAAATTGCGTCCCTCTGCTGCAGTTCAACCACTAAAAGCTCTGACTGGGGTGTTTATTTCAGTTTGCGACCGATTCACAGAGCTTCAGCTTGAACTAGTTCCCAGTCAATTTGAACTAGTTCAAACCAAACCATTCGTAGGTAGCAACAAGTCTTGCTCAGACAGGTTTCAGTTTAAAGAAAAGAGTCATATCCAACACCTTCTGTCAGGTGCTAGATTGCCAAGAGACCAAAACCCTGATGTATTCTTCACAGTTCTTTACTACAGAGGAACCTCCTGTTTTGTTTTGCTTTCTGAAGTTAAACTGAAAGCAGCAAGAGACATGACTGACTCTCTAATTTAAGGTAGGGGATAGCTGTCTTCCAAAGAGTCCTGCTTTGCCATTAGGAGATTGTATCTTCTGCTAGTGCTTGCTGAAAGTTACTTCTCAACAAACTGGTGACTGAGGAGCTTATGGGAGCACTCCCTAACCCAGCTCTGACAGGAAAGCCCACCTATGATGTACACTGCCAGGAAAGGAGGTAACCTACTGCATGGTAATGAAAACAGTTCTGAGAAATAACCTACTCCATTGGCTTCAGAGAAGAATGTCTGTCCCAGACCTCACAGAGCTCAGAACCTGAGCTTGGTTAAATATAAGCAGCATGATTTTTTTTTTTCCGTAGGTACTGTCTTCAAACACACATAAACCACAAAACCCAACAATTGCCCTAATCTTCCTTTGTACCATGACAGCCGTTCCAAGATAACAGAAATTATTTTGACTTCTGTTCATTTTGTTTACTGCTATCTGAATCATTCAAAATTTGAAACATCCTACACTAATCTCTGTTCGTCCAGCTGCTCTTTCCAGTTCCTTAATTCTAACCCCAGCTGTAACATTACTTACAACATCAGTCACAAAACTAAAGCACTGACTCATACCTTCCTAAGAACTAACCCTGAAATATTCTCTGTAATTGACATCAACTTCAATCATATTTTCCTGAGCTTAGCAAGATCCTGCAGTGAAATAAGCTCGCAAACCCCTGATCTTCCCAACTCAAGTGTAGCATTAAAAAATCACCTAATATATTTCAGGAAAAAAAAAGTAAAAGCACCGAATCTTGTGCCAGCCTTAAATCCACTCCTTAAAAATTTCTACTATTGTGCTCTTCAGCCTTCACTCTCACTAACCTTACTCTAACTTCCCCCTCTTCCCAGAAACCAGTAAAAAACTGGAAGACCAGTGATATGTACTTATTTGTGACCCACTACAGATCTTCAGTGTCTTGCAGTACTTGAGTTTTTCTACTTATTCTCTCCCACTGCCTGATTCTTTGTTCTTTGCTCTCCTTCAGTTGGCACTTTTATATGTTTGTCACCAAGACAAAATTGTCCTGACCTTGTAACAATAACTGAATCCAGTAGACCACAGTAGATGTCACAATGAGGAGGGAAGGAGAATACTGGAAATACAGCCTTTTTTAAGCTGCAGTCAAAATGGTAATTTGTATAGACAGCTAAAGACTCATTTTCTGAATGGAAACAGAGCTTTAGAAGGGCTTTTTTTGTGTTCCCAATGCACAAAAACTTCTACCAGAGTATACATGTAGTCAGAAGAGATGATTTCTTATACAGGTTTTTTCTAAGAGGTCTGCAGCATCTCAGTTCTGTTAGTTTGCTATACTGATCAAGCAGACAGAAGTTGCATTTCCAATGGTTTAAACTTCAAAATTAATTCCACTTAACATAAACATCATTAAATACATAGTCTTATCAGTGATATAAACCTCATTTAATTCAGCCAAACACAAGTACAGTCATCTGTGTTGAAGCTCTGAGTAATGGACGAAAACTGCATGTTTCTGCGTCCATTTTCCTGGAAAACTTCTGCCCTCTGCATCCTTATTTCCATCTTTTTTTCAACTTACTTTATCTAAAGAGATCCCCAAATAGTCTCTGTTTTTCAGACAAATGTCATCATTCTTTGGTTTGTTTTCATTCATATTTGTAAGAGAATAACAAAACCTAAAAAGCTTGAATCAGTGAGCAAACCTGGTTCTGCCACAGCTCCATGCAGCTTCTGGTGTTCTTTTGCTCAGTACTCCCCCTCAAACTTTCATACAGAAACACTTAACCCACATTTCTTTCAATGCCTAACTGCCTTAGAAGAGTGATACCACTTAACTGATTTCCTGCTGTTTTAAACCTATTACCTTTTTGATGTCTCCTGTACTTGGATGCTTGCCTCAAAGAAAATGACTGAAATGAACTACTGTACTACTGTGTCCAGCTGCTTCTCTTCAGGTGTCCTCCTTTGGAGGATTACCCTGCAAAACAAAGCAAAAAAGAACGTTGAGACCAATTAGGCTATCATACTTTCAGAGCACTTTTCCAAAGCTTTAACTGTGATTGATGGAATAACCTCTCATTACACAAAGCTACACAATTCTGTTACCGAAACATAAATAGTTTGCTTTAGGTTGACTGCTTGGCATGTTCTGTTGTTCTTTTGGTTTGTTTTTAAAGCTTTACATGTGCTCCATGATCTGCTGGGCTAGAGAGCCAGACATCTATAGTTCTTTCTGCTTTTACAACAGATCCGGTATTTAAAGTTGGTAATTAATAATGCCCATTATCCCATCAGCTGGAGTAACACACTGCTCCTTCCCCAAGGATGTGCCTAAAACCCATGCTGTGTCCTGCAGCATGGCTGGGATTTCCCACAGTCCTTCAGTGTTCTCTCTGGCTCTTCCTGACCCTTTTATTGTTTTAGGCTATTCCTTAGCTTGAAGTTTTATCTTCCTGTTCCCCTTAAGGATTCTGCAGTGTGATACTATAGCAGAGCAGGCACATTTAGAGGGTTATATCGACAGAGCATTCTGAAAGATGGCTTGGGAAAAAAGGAGAAAGCCCAAACAAACAAACAACAAGCAAACATTATCTATGCATCCACCCATCATCTTGTTCACCAAAAGATGCTGAAAATTCCTTTTTCTCCAATAGGGAAAAAAAAAAAAGGAATTTTTGTGGGGGCGGAACACAGATCCCATCTAACATCCATCAGAAAACCTTTCAGAAATCAACCTTGCGATTAATAACACCGAGCTGTTACTACATCGGGCCTTTGGGGGCAGGGTTTGGGGCCCGTGGGGGGGAGGGGGGTCGAGGTTGGCAGTGGATGTGGGGCCCGGGGGCGCGCTGGGGCAGGCGTGGGGCTCGGAGCTTTTGAGGGGGAGCGCCGAGTTCACTGCCACAACACGGCCCTTGCCCTCCCCCGATCCCAACGCTCTCGGCCCACGCCGGGCCTCCCCGGGTGGCACATGCCCGACTCACCCGCTCCCAGACCGCCCTCCGGCCT